GAGGCAAGAGGATCACTTGAGCCCAAGAGTTTGAGGTTGCTGTGAGCTATGATGCCACAGCTTTCTACCCATGGTGACAGAGTCTCAAAAAGTAAAAAAAAAAAAAAATGGAAGAGGAGTTCTTTGGCTTTTTTTTTTTTTGAAACAGTCTCTAGCTGTTGCTCTGGGTAGAGTGCTGCAGCGTCACAGCTCACAGCAACCTCCAACTCTTGGGCTTAAGGGATTCTCTTTCCTTAGCCTCCCAAGTAGCTGGGACTACAGGCAACTGCCACAATGCCCAGCTATTTTTTTTGTTGCAGTTGTCCTTGTCATTTTGGCTGGTTAGCTGGCCTGGGCCAGCCTCGGTGTATATGGCTGTAGCCCTACCCACTGAGCTACGGGCTCTGCTGAAGAGGAATTCTTTGGAAGCGATCTTTTTTTTTTTAAGAGACAGAGTCTTACTTTGTTGTCCTTGGTAGAGTGCTGTGGTGTCATAGCTCACAGCAACCTCCAGTTCTTGGGCTTAGACGATTCTCTTGCCTCAGCCTCCCGAGTAGCTGGGACTACAGGTGCCCAACACAACATCCGGCTATTTTTTTTCCCTGTTGTTTTTGCGGATTGGCCAGGGCCGGGTTCTAACCCACCACCCCCAGTATATGGGGCCGGCACCCTGCTCACTGAGTCACAAGCGCTGCCCTGGAAGCAATTGTTTTTAATACTAACTGACTCATTGCCTAAGATCAGCCCCAAACATTTGAAGATAAAAAGGTAATAATCTATTGCCACTCACAGTAGCGTAGAGAATGGCATTTAAGGCAAGTCCCAGGTAGGAACACAGAAAAATGAAGCAGCTGACTCATTAATGTCATTGGATCGTGATTTTTTGCTAAACTTTGCTTTGTAGTTGTCCTAATGTTTATAGAATAAACCTCTGGGAAAGAAGTGCTGTGTTGAGGGTTCTCTTTATCTTAGGCTTGCTTCCGGTATGGGTGTAACTGCTGTAACAAATTAACACAAATTTAACTGTGTGCCTCAAACTGACAAAGATTTATTACCTTATACCTCCTTAAGTTAGAAGTCCAGCAGGGGATTCACTGCGCTAAAATCCAGGAACAGGCCAGGGCTCTGCTCCATTCTGAGGGGACCTGTGAGAGAATTTGGTTTTTTGCCTTTTTCAGCATCTAGAAACTGCCTGCATTCTTTGACTTGTGGACTCTTCTTCCACTTTTTTTGATGTTTCTCTCTGTCACCCTGGATAAAGTGCCCTGGCATCACTGTGGCTCATAACAACCTCAAACTCTTTTTTTTTTTTTTTTTTTTTGTAACAGAGCCTCAAGTTGTTGCCCTCATTAGAGTACTGTGGCATAACAGCTCACAGCAACTCCTGGGCTTAAACAATTCTCTTGCCTCTCAAGTAGTTGGGACGATGGGCACCCATCACAATGCCCAGCTATTTTTAGTTGTAGTCATCATTGTTGTTTGGCAGGCCCAGGCTGGATTCAAACCTGCCAGCTCTGGTGTATGTCTGGCACCTTAGCCGCTTGAGCCACAGGCGCCGAGCAAACAACCTCAAATTCTTGGGCTTAAGCAATCCTCCTGCCTCACCTTCCCAAATATATGGAACTGCAGATGCCCACCACAATGCCTGGCTAATTTTCTATTTCTATTTATTTATTTTTTATTTTTTTGAGAGAGAGTCTCACTTTGTCACCCTCAGTAGAGTGCTGAAGCATCATAGCTTATAGCAACCTCAAACTCTTGGGCTCAAGTGATTCTCTTACCTTACCCTCCTGAGTAGCTGGGACTACAGGAACCTGCCACAATACCCAGCTAGTTTTAGGGATGGGATCTTGCTCTTGGTGGTCTCAAACTCCTACACTCAAGCAGTTCTAGGTGGTCTTGAACTCCTACACTCAAGCAGTCCACACACTTTGGCCTCCCAGAGTGCCAGGATTACAGGTGTGAGCCTCCACTCCTGGCCTTTATTTTACTATTTTTAGTAGAGATGGGGTTTAACGCTTGCTCATGCTGGTCTCTACCTCCCAGGGTCAAGCAATCCTCCTAGAGTTCTGGGATTACAGGTATGAGCCACCACACCTAGACTCTTCTTCCACTTTCAAAGCCAGCAGTGCTGCATTATCCAATCACTTCTTGTGTAGGCACATCTCTTTCTGACCACAACCAGAAAATATTCTCTGATTCTGAAAATTTATGTGATTAGATAGATCAGGCCCACTTGGATAATCCAAGATATTGTCCCTATCTCAAAGTCCATATCCCTAATCACATTGGCCAAGTCCATTTTGCTAGGTGAGGTAACACATTCTCAGGTTCCTGGGATGGCACATGGGCAGCTTTGGGGCCATTATTCTGCCTAAGTACTCTTTTTTGTTTTCATTGGTGTCTCTCAAAGTGCATGCCACATCTTTTGCAGAAAAGAATATTTCCATTGTCACAGAAAATATGACTGAACCTGAATTTTTTTTTCTTTCTTTCTTTCTTTCTTTTTTTTTTTTTTGAGACAGAGCCTCAAGCTGTCGCCCTGGGTAGAGTGCTGTGACATCACAGCTCACAGCAACTTCCAACTCCTACACTTAAGCAATTCTCTTATCTCAGCTTCCCAAGTAACTGGGACTACAGGCAGCCACCACAATGCCTGGCTATTTTTTGTTTGTAGTTGTCATTGCTGTTTGGCAGGCCCGGGTTGGGTTTGAACCCGCCAGTTCTGGTGTATGCAGCTGGGGCCTTAGCTGCTTGAGCTACAGGCGCCAAGCTGAACCTGAATTTTTCTAAGATTTAAAAATCTTCCTGTGACAATTCTATTTTACATTCTGAATTTCTATATATAGAAAAGTGCACAAATTACAAAGTTGCAGCTTGATGAATTTTCCTAAACTGACCACACCCATATAATCAGCACTAGAACGAGAAACAGAACATACTCTATTGCTCCAGAGGTCCTGCTCCTCTCTGGTTTAGTCTATAAGGTAATTTAGCATTTGTTTACATTAGAAAATTCTGTGTACAAGCAATACCTGGAATATTATTGAAATAAAAAGGAGCAAGCACAAGTGATATTCACTTATCCATTCTGTAAGTATTTTCTGGCACCTGTCCTGGGCCAGGTGCCAGGGAAAATAGGATCAGTTGATGGGAAACTGGTCCTATGGCACAGAACCTATGGAGGAAACTATGAGGTGGGCAGGTGGAAAGGGAGTTTTCGAAGCAGTAACAGCAGGCATTGGCTAAGCCTAACTGGAAGGGATCTCGGGGAAAGTGGGCCCCAAAGGCGATTACAGTATTGGAGCAGAAAGGATCTCAGGCAAGGGTCACAGTGTGGGCAAAGGCATGGCAGTGGGGACAGGCCAGGGATGCTGTAGGTTTGGGAGGACAGAGGGATATGACCATTGGACTTGGCAGACTCTGAGGACTTGCTCCCACAGTTGGATCCACCATTCCTGTTTCTTGTTTCCACCGTCCAAATCTCAGTTCTCATAGAAATCTCAGTTCTATGGCCTCAGAACTGGAGGCCTTAACTCCTACACCAGTGCCCACATTTTACAGATGGAGATGCAGGGGACCAGAGGAGGGAAATACACCCACAGCCAGTCACCTGCTTCCTTGATTTCCTCACCACTCACTAGCCCCCAGAGCCCTGCCTGTGCTGTGGGGCAGAAAAACCCCTCCCTCAGTGGGGAAGCCAGGCAGAGAGCAGAGCACTGAGCTGTAAAATGTGACGTCCGGAGACGGTAAGTGTTGTGCTACAGAGAAAAATAAGGAGGGTAAAGGAACAGAGGGAAAGCCGCGGTTGGGGAAGGTTGTGGAGGGGACACCTGGGACCCAAAGGAAATGCATTCACGCAGAGGGAAGAGTTTGTGTGACTGAAGGTGATGGAGACTGGCTGGGGAAGACCCCAAAGAGCTGGTTTCTCCATCTCCACCTGTCCTGTTCTTGGAAACGGGCCACCAGGTGTGAGGTTTGGGGACCTGCTGTTGCTTGTCCTGGATCTTCCTCTATCAGCAGAGGCCAGACTTAGGCAAGAGGATGTCTATGTACCTAGCTGAATTCCCACCTCCCCCCACCTGTGCCTCCTCATATCTACAGGGGAGTCAAAATAGGGAGAGGGCCCCCCATGGTACAGCTAAGGGAACTGAGACTCAACACCTTGTTCTATGCCGGTGCAGTGGGGTCAGGAAAGGCTTTGCTACAGTGCCCCCCAGTCCCGCAGGAGACGGGCGGGGGCGGGGTAGGGGGAAGCGGAGGGTATTGCGGAGGAAGTTCCCAGAAGCCAGCTGCGGCGTCTTGGTGGAGGAGGGCTGGTGGGTGACAAAGTAAACTGGTGGGCAGCGACGGGAGGGGGACGAGCCCGGAGGAGGCAACAGGAGGGTTTAGAGGCACGATTCGGCTGGAGGGGAGTTCGGAACCGTGAGGGGAGGCCCGGGAAAAGGTGGGCGCAGACGGAAGGGGACTGGGAGTGTCGGGGGACGGGTGGCAGCATGGGGCGCAGGGCCGCGAGCCGTTGAGGGTAGGGAAGCGGTGGGATTACGAAGGTCGAGGAGGCGGGCCTCTTGGAAGTGGGCGGAGCCATTCCATCCGGAGGCGGGGC